GGGGCGGGGCGGCCGCTCGCCGGCTTGACCCTCAGCCGGCCCCGGCGGGTAGTAGCAGAAGCTCAGGAGATGCTGGAAAAGCCCCGTGTTGGCTTGGAAAGCTGGGATGTCCCTCAGCTCCTGGATCACCGCCTGCAGCTTGCCCATCAGCAGCTGCAGCACGGTCCCCTCCGGCTGCCAGTCCCCCAAGTGCTGCTCCAGCACAGCTCCGCTGTCCTGGGGGAAAAGCAGCACCGAGGGCTCCTCCGACTGCACCAGCCGCTCCAGCGCCGCCTCCTCCGACAAGTGGAGCAGCTGATGGGGGAGGGTCTCCATCACCTGGAAGTCCAGCCAGTGGTGGGAGCTGGGCTGGGTGGGCGGCTTGCTGGAGGAGCTCAGGACCTGGCGGATGAACTGGGTCAAGATGCCCAGGAACTGGCTGCTGCCACCGGGCACCGGGGATGAAGCGTTGGTTTGGCTCGGGGCAGTGGGGGACAGCAGCTCCTTGGTCCTGGCCTGGGGTGGGCTGTGAGGAGAACACAGGGAGGGTCATGGGGTCCCCTGGAACCCCAGTGGTCCCTTCCCCACATCCTCCCCCTTCCATCCCATGGCAGAAGGGCTGTGGCCGCCCCTTTCTCCCCCTGCTCCCAGTCCCTGTGTTTTTCCATGGCTGTGGTGAAGGCCACGGACCTGAGCTGCGGGTACGGAGCTGTGTCCACCACCCCATCAGCAGAGAGGTAGGAAGAAGGGACCAAAGCCGCCTCCTCCTCCTCCTCCTCCTCCTGCCGTGACTTGGCCAGCAGGAGCAGCACGGGGGTCATCCTGGTGAAACACTTGTCATCAGAGCCGAAAAGGAGCTGCTGGGTCTCCGTGGGGGACAAGGGGGCACCTGGTGGGGAGAGGAGCGGTGAGGATGGTGGTCCAGGATCAGGATCCCACATGTCCCCACAGCCCCTCATTACAAAGAGGCTTGAGAGGATCCCAAATGCCCAAGTCAGGACACAGAGGGCAGGGACACCGGTGTCCCCCACAGCTGTGGGCTTCCTGTGTCCCTACCTCCCTCCCCGCCGGCCCTGATGGCCAGCGAAGCCTCGAAGCTGAGGTGCTCGCTGGTGCGGGTGACAGATGCTGCGGTGGCTCCCAGGACCAGGTACTGCGTGTCCCTGGTGAGGCAGAGGCTCTGCAGAGGGGCAAAAGATGCACCGAGGCCGTGGGTGAAGCATCACGTTGGGGGTACCCAAATGACGCCCCCGCGCTGTGGTCCCCACTGGTCACCCAGTCTGCGGTGGCCCAGTGAGCAGCAAAACGGGAGGGTCGGGACCACCGGGAGCAGAGCGGGCAGGGGGCTTCAGCACCCGTGTCCCTGGTGAGGCAGAGGCTCTGCAGAGGGGCAAAAGATGCACCGAGGCCGTGGGTGAAGCATCACGTTGGGGGTACCCAAATGACGCCCCCGCGCTGTGGTCCCCACTGGTCACCCAGTCTGCGGTGGCCCAGTGAGCAGCAAAACGGGAGGGTCGGGACCACCGGGAGCAGAGCGGGCAGGGGGCTTCAGCACCCAGCCCCAGGGCTGCTCCGGGAGCCGTGGGGTGCAGGGGGACCCCCGGGGGGTGCAGAGAGCCCCGAGAGGCCCCGGACCCGCTTCTCCCGGCTG